TGGCCGAAAAATGTCATGGATGGAAAAGAGCTCTTTCTCATATTCTGCTGATTGACATAATAAAATAAGCCTTTTTATAAATAATGTATGTATTGCAGGTATGTTAAGTTTGGTATAGTTGTATTTAGGTGTTATTCTTACCATTTTTCCTTTAAAATAAGGCTTCAAAAAAGGATTTTAAGAGTTTCTTAAACATGTCTAATTTTTCCGTCCGGAATTGAACGAGTTTTCTATTCCTTTGAGAAATTCCAGAGATAAAACACGAATTAAGAATAAAATAAAGAAAGTTGACGAAGTAAAATTATCAAACGGCAAAAATAACTAAAGTCTTTATTAAACAATAAATTGGGTTTTATATACATATTCAGGGCTGGCTGAATATGAATCATTAAAGTGAAACCTGTCAAATATACGATAGGCGTATTATCAATTAAAGATCGAGCATCTCATGGTACCTTCGAGAATCTCTTATTGACGAGCGATCATATCATTGGATTGTATTATCTGGAATAAATCTATGACTATTGTTTCTATGTATTGATGAGTAATCAATGCGTAGTAAATAGAGTGTAATAGCATGTATGTGATTTAAAGAGTAATGCAATAATGATTTATAGAAAGATTATCAAATAAGAAAGAAAGAATCGATGATACAGTTATATCTGTATATAAGCTCGGCCACAACACACGTACTAATCGTGGATCTGCAGCCCCAATGGCCTACTTAGCTAGAGTAAATCAAAACCAAATCAGGCGCATAAGTAAATGGAACAATACAACCATAAACGGTGCTTATTGGACTGGATTTTCAAGAGAAGTAATGAGGGGGATAGCCGGATTCACTGTTCAGCAGGGTTCGTTAAAAACGTATCATTCTTTTTCTATAAAATTAACCATTTCAAAATCAGGTCAACTTTATTTACCAAGATCTAGTGTTGATCCACCTGACTCTTTTTGAAAAATGATCTTTCCTGATCTTGACGTATGGCACGATAGATTCACAGCAAATCAAGCAAACCCAAACAACGGCGACGAAATGGACGTAACAGTTGCAGCAAAAGCTTTCTTTGGACTTATGTTTATGTTAAAAAAAACAGTCATTCAAGATGCTGTTTTTATGATGGAGAAGTTTCCTACTCACCCACTTTGGCAAAATAGTCTGTTTTCGCAGGAATTGTTTACAGACTACAAGGAGTAAGTTTATATTTACGCAATAATCAATATGATATAATGTACTCACAAAAAACTTTTTTCTACAGTCGCATGCTCATCGTCGCCCAAGAAGACATTGATACTGTCCAATCTTTGTTGCAACGGTGCATGCCAATTTTAGAAGACAAAATTAAATGCATGCACCATGATCTTTCGACACGATTAGATAAACAATCGGCATTTCAAGAAAAGATTAATGATTATATTACCAGATTTGGCACAAGCCAAGCGAGTATAAGCCTGAACATTAGTCTACCTGGAGGATCAGGGGAAAATCAGGATAGAACAATTATCACTACAGCAGCCATACCTCAACAAAGCCGACCCAACTCATTTTCCGGCAGTAATACGATGGATCAATCACAGACTTTTTATGGCAATATTAACAGTAATGTTGTACCCTGTTATCGTATGAGTCGAGGAATTGTTTCCCTCCATGATTTGTGGCGTGAATGGACAGAGGGTTTATGTTGCGCTCATGCAATTAAGGTTTGGAGAGAAGATGGGGAACCAGATGAGGAAGGTAAGAAAAAGAAAAAACTTTTTTAACAGACTTCGATTAAAAATAAACGAAATTGAACTACAAGCAAGCCAAAACAATATCATTACCAGAACAGCTGTAGACATTGCAGAAAAAAGGAGATCACAAAAGGGACATTCACTACACTCGCTGTCAAAAAATACTAACAAGATATTCTGAAACAGACGGCATTGCTCACCCAATCCAAATGTTAGAGTGGCTTTTTTTTTGTTTTTTTTTGTCACATATAATAAAAAACATATTCCTTTATTTTTCTGTTGTCGTCATTGTCAAATGCATAAGGCATGTCAACATTACTATTCCCATAAAGTGTTTATTTCAAAGAGAGTAACAACATATCACTTTAGGAAAGAATAATATGCAAATAATTAGATCAAGTTATCAGGTCACATTCTGGGGACTTGATCCGTAAATAAGTGCAGTTATTTACGGTAATTTTTTCAAATAATTCAATTGATTACCGCTCTGAGTTCCAATTAGGTGGGGACTTTTGAGACTTTTCAGGACTTTGAACATAGATAATGTCAATTATTATGGATTATCAAGGTGTAACGTAATTCGACTACGGTAAATATGGATAAAACCACAAGAGTTTGATGTTCGTCATCGTCACTGTAGATGAACTTAGAGCCTACAAAAACTGTCCTCTTCCACCAACTTGTTACAATTACACATACTGAGAAAGGAGACACCTAGTAACCACTATTACTAATGAAGTACACTATGCCAGGATATAGTAATCGGCTGAAGAGTCTAATTGGGAAAAGACAATATTCTTGTCGATGAAATTTAAGCAACTCTAATATTTTTTTTCAATATGTTTACACAGTCCCGACAGGGATCAGTAAACAAAATCAAACTAACAGAAATTGATGGTAAATAGAAAGAACGATATTATGTCAGCAATTAAAAAAACAAGCAAACAGCCGTCTAGAAACAATATTCATCGTTCTTGAAGATTTTTCGGGAAGATTAGCCAATGCCGTCATCCCTCAGAAAGAAGTAGTAACAACACGAGCGAGACTGAACCCAGACTGAATAGCTTATTAAAAGCAGTTATTTCTTCGGAAAAAGGATGGTAATAGAACAAAAAATGTGTATGAAATATATCTCCCAAAGAATTGAAGTTTATAATCTATATCTATACAGAAAGAAGACAAGAAATGAAATAAAAGAATAGGCAATGGCAAAAGTTGTTTATAACTTATGTGAATCATGCCAAAGCATATAAAAAGCTGACAGATATAGATTAAAGTTTGAGTACAAAATTGAATTCCGAATAAAACATAAAGGGGGCATAAAATGTGAGATGATCATTGCAACGTCATTGATTTTTATTTTAAACTCATTATCAAGCAGCTAGAAGAACTTCATTCGCAAAGATGGTTGGGAAGAGCAAAAAGCAACTGATATCTTATCCGTGTAATCCATTCGAAACATCAGGTGCAACTAATCCAATCAATTTAAAACAAAAGAAGAAAACCTAATAGAATTAAAAAAAAATGACTAGCGGATTAAAGATATTCTTGTATATAATTCGAAAAAAGGACCCCGATAATGCATTGAAACTACTATTAAACTCTGTCATAATTCTTATCTCCGGTTTAACTGGAATAAAGTTCTTATCATAAAAATCAAACATTGGTTGGGCAAATTTAAATAAACAACTAAATTAAAATTTTATTTTTTTAGTTGGGCGTTCCACCTCGGATGACGAGATGGAGACAGAAAAGCGTTTTCGCTTTTCTGTCTCCTTCATCCGAGGGGAAGCCGCAACAGGAAAGAACAAGGGAGAAAGAGGACCGCACGCAGGAGCCAAGGGAGGACGAGGACGGACACCCGCAGGGCGAAGACGACGAGCACGAGAACGACGTGGCCGAGCCACACAGAGGCGGACACGACGACCAACAGCAGCAGGAGAAAACAGTTTTTGTTTTTTAGTGGTTCTCTCTAGCTCCGAAGAGCAGAGAGAAACCAAAAAGTGGTTTCTTTTTCTCACGGGGAGAGAAGCAGAACGAGGAAAAAGGCTAATAAAGAAGGACAAACGAGGATTAAAATTTAATTTCTTTAGAAATTAGTCCAATGGCGACATTACTCATTGGTAATTTGTCGAAAGAGTAAAAGTATCGAATACTTACGAGAAGAAAGTAACAGCTTGTAACATTGTTTTTTTAAAAAACTCGGTTGGGACAGGAAAGAAAGGAAGGAAAATAACCTTCCGGATTTTAACGACTTTTAAATAAAAGAAAGCCGTGTGACCTGATGACGTAATATATTCCATGTGAAAGTATTTTTAATATGTAACGATTAATTTATCAAGTTATTTTCGGTTTTTACCATTTTTTTAACTTATAAAAATAGCAATGACCTGCCGAAAGAGAATCTAATTGTGAAAATATTGGTGAACAATTAGCTTTATGTGTCATTAAGAACAGTAATTTCGGTTGTCATGTCCAAAGATGAGTCATAATTAATACGCTAGTTCACACGGGGTTAAAACAACTTCATAACCATACGATAAAGAAATACTTTTTTCCGACGGAAAATGTCATTTACATTGTAGAACAATACTAATTAAACGAATAGCCGTTCATCGCTGCAAGTAACATTTAGGACTCGCAAACATTTTAGGAAGCTTTCAATGTATTACGCAGGGAAATATAACTAACCAAGTTTAATTTGGGGCTAGTCCAAATGACGGAAAATGTTCGTTATCTGTCTACTCGATACCAATTTGGGCTGCTGAATGAAACCAAATTGTTTGTGGAATAGTTCAAAATAAAAAGGTAGAAAATCTCTGTTTATAATAGAGCAAGTAATGAACTGAGACTCAATAATCCGTCATTATAAGATAGATACTTTGTCATGATAAAAATAAGGATCGATTTTATATTCAATTAATACTTCAAGATTTTTCCTTCGCAGATCGAATGGGATATTTAATCGCAAACTGGAAAATGGTGAAATTAGATTTTCAAATCTCTTTCGCACAAAACCTTGCATATTGTTATATACAAGGTGCCATTCGACCCTTATTCCGCACTTCTAGTATATTAAAATTTATTCAATCAACCGCAGGATCGTGATCTAATTATCAAAGCCAATTTATGACAAACTAGAATCGCTGGCCGCAAGCCGAGCAATCCAGGAACTATTACAAAATATGTTTTCCGTTTCACATATGAAGGTGCTGATTCTGTGTCGAACGAGCAACAATTTCTTCGTGGATCTTTAGCAAGAATAGCCGACTTAGCTGGAATAAATGAAGACCTAATCAGGTGCTTTGGTTGATGGAACAACACAACTATTAACGGTACTTATTTGACTGGATTACCAAGAGGAGTAATGAGGACGATAAAAAAAATTTCTGTTCAAGAAGGTTTGTTAAAAACGTATCTTTCTTTTTTCTAAAAACTAACCATTTTAAAATCAGGAAAATTTTATTTATCAGCAGCTAGTGTTTGTCCACCTGAATCACTTTGCAAAATGATTTTTCCAGATCTTAACGCAAGGCTCGGTAGATTGACAATAAAGCAAGCAAACCGTAACAACGACGATGTAATGGAAATAACATTTGCAACAAAAGTATTTTTTGTACCTACGTTTATGTTAAGAAGAACAATCATACAAGATGCGGTTTTTAAGATTGACAACTGTTCTACTCACCCACTTTGGCAAATTAGTCAGTTTCCGTATGAAACATTTACAGACTACAGGGAGTAAGTTCAGATTAATGCAATGATTAATAGGATATAATCTACTTTTAAAACACGTTTCTCTACAGGCGCATGCTCATCATTGCTCAAGAATATAACGATCCTGTGAATTATTTGATGCAACGGTGCATGCCAATTTTAGAAGACAAAATCAATTGGATGCACCATGATCTTTCGACACGATTAGATTCACAATCAGGATCTCAGAAAAATATTATAGATTATATTACAAGACTTGGAACAGGCGAAGCGAGTATACGCCTGAGCATACGTTTGGCTGGAGGATCAGTGGAGGATCAGGATGCAACAAATATCCATAAAACAGTCATACCTAAACAAAGCGAACCCCCTTCATTTGCCTGCAGTAATGCGATGGATCATTCAAAGACTTTTCACGGCAATATCAACAGTATGTTGGGCCCTGTTGTGGTATGAGTCGAGGAATTGCTTTTGTCATTGATTTTTGGCATGAATGAACAGAGGGTCTATATGGCGCTTATGCGGTTAAGGATTTAGAAAGAAGATTGGGTACCGGATGGAGAAAACAAGCAACAGAATCAAGGTTTTTTAACGGACGTTGATTAATAATAACAAAAATTGAACCGTATGGAAGGCAAAACAATGTAACTCCCACAACAGCAGTACACATTGTAGAAAGAAGGAGATCGCGAAAATGATATCCATTACACTGGCTGTCTAAAAATATTAACAATATATCAGAAACCCAGAGCATTGCTGACCGAAGTCAAAAATTAGGATAGTTCTTTCTTCTTTTGTCACATATAATAAAACACATATTTTGTTATTTTTCTGTTCTCGGCATTGCCAAATTCTTAAGGCATGTCAACATTACTATTTTCACCAATTTCTAATTCAAAGAAAGTAACAAGAGATGACATTAGGATAGCATAATATGCCAATAATGAAATCAAGTTATCAGGTCCCATTCTGGGGACTTGATCCTTAAGTAACTGTGGTTATATAAGGCCATTGTTTTCCAATAAGTCAATATATTACCGCTATGAGTTTCAACTAGGTGTGGACTTTTGAGACTTTTCAGGAATCGGAACAAAAATAATGCAAGTAACTTTCGTGTTGGTTCATTCCGTAGTTTGGTGAATGATGCCACTGTGGCACGGATTTTAAGTATTTGACTTTTTCTCGATTATACGATTTGCGTGTACAATTCAATAAAAACCCTTTTCTCGAACATCTGACGGTCTAGAGGAAAGTCATCTCTTTACTTTGCTTGGGAATAATGTTGTTTGTACTACATATATAGGGCCAGAAACTTTGTTCTTTGGGTCTTCAAGTTGAATTTAATTCCAATATATGAAAGGAGTACAACGGTTTGTTTTAAGAATGCAAAAAGAAGTATTATCTACGAGGCAGCAGGGAAGTTACTGTTTGATCACTTTCTCCATAGATTCTATTACAGTTGAATGTGACACTGAACGCTCAAAACTGTTCAAGCTTTAACGCTCATTACGTAATCATCTTTAGAAAAATTTTTGATACAATTTTGATAGCTAGTAAACCTGTGGAACATTGCGTCTATACTAGTCCTGACGGATAAGATGGCGAGAAAGAAAGCCAAAAGCAAAGATATGGTCAAAATTAAAATTTTAACTCAAACCTGGCTTGTTGCCAATGGTTGAAAAATTGAATCGAAATACTTCACGTTAAAAACGTCTTCTCTAACGTAGATGATATACCAGATTATGCTATTGCGAATCTTAAGGCGTCTGTTTCATTTTGATATCTTTAAACGTCATTTTTTCGAAATAAAATTGGAACCGCATCAAACAACGTTTAAACTGTTTGTCTGATAGAGATATATGTGGTTACCATCATATTGTGGATTGCACATTTTTTATTTCAACTGCCATGATCAAACCCATAATAACACTTATAGCATTAAAAAAACTTCTTAGAAGTTTTGCTAATGCTTCAGATGAGAATACAAATGATGAAGACGAAAAAACATTATATTTGACTTCTAATTCTTAGCGTACGTTGCAGGTAAGCGCTCACATTAATTGGTCTCTTTTGATCTCCGCGCTTAAAAAACAGGTACCCTTTAAGTTTTCAAAAAAATCCTCGGTCTTTACCATTCAATCTACCCCGCCTACAAAAAAGGATGGTATATCGCTTTCGAACTTTACCAACACCACAATCGGAAAAAAAATCAGGTTCCCAAATTTACTGGACGACTAATCTTAGACATGACTTGGCTTCATGATTCCACAACCTTAGGAATGACTAGGGACATTATGACCATTTACACCACTTATCTTCGTACGAAAACTTCTCAGGTCTATATTGTCAAACAGCTTCCATACTTCACTAATAAAGTCGAAAGCAAGACGGTAAAAAGGGAATATTCCATCCAAAGAACTCTTTTCTGCAGACACACAGTTATTCGTTCACGATTCATTCTCACACAGTCGAATCGGGTGATCATGGGCTTCAGGATGGTCAACCCGAAAAATCAATCGCGAGTAGCTTTTTAAAATTGAGAATAACGCTCACGCCGCCCTTATATATACTGGCAGTTAACTGACGCAATGGACATTCGGCTGACACTATAAACATTTACGATGATTACTTGTGCAACAAACTTAGATCTGGCTAGCAGCGTTTCGTTTAACATTATCAGGATCTAAGCAATGGAGCATTTGGAAAGAAATGGGAAAGAATAGCCAAAATTGACTGGCTGACAGCAATTCAAAATGGCAAAGGTCCAATAATAGTTTCTGGTGTTTTTGCATGAAAGGACTAGATTCTGTGTTCGTCACTGGTAAGGATCCAAAACTGAATAAACATGTTGAATATATTAAAATCAATCTTTGTAAGGCCCAAACGGCGTCAGCAGGATTGTTTTCTAGCATTCCAATTCCCAAAATATGGGTTTCATTGCAACGGATGAATATATGAAAGGGTGAAGAGTGATAGCTGTCCTAGTCATTCTATGCATGGCATAAGCTAAAATCATTTTTTGAACAGCATGAGAGTACGTGATATATATTAATCATGGAAGATGGTAAATCAAGACGTGTGAAAAACACTTTACAGCAGTTGAAAGTCGTAAATCAGGTACTGTTGCGATTGATACACCCTAATCTCCAAGAGAATTTCGTGTTTAGCATTCTCTATCGTTAGCTGCCTTTTTATATTGACCGTTTGGAGAACTAATAGCTTTGTAAGAGGAACAAATAAAATGAAGTGAATGTATTGTGATTTTGTCACTTTTCATAAACAAGAACTTACAGTTTTCGAAGTTATTTTATCCTAAAGCTGGCACATCTCCAAAGTTTTCCACTTTTATGCACGCGTACACAGATTGAAAATAGCCAATTATA